ATGCCCTGGGGGTAAGCAGATAAACATCACATTTTCATTTTGGGGTGAACTATCCCTTTAAGCCAATTCAACAAAAAAGGCTCTTAAAAATTTGATTCTTTCAGTTTTAAATTTGTTTGTCAATTATATATTTTTAAATACACCATTTTAAGTGCACTAACACCTTATATCATATCACTATTACGTATGTTTCCCACAGAACGGAATGTGTGAAAATCCTATAAATATACAAAAATTATTCATGTCAGATCAAATTTATTTAGATTGTGTTTAAACACTACTTTAAAATATATGTATATGCACAACAATTTACAATCGATATCACTGAAGGGAAAGACTATGGAATTGGTGGAATTTGACGTAACAAACTGCAAAAGTGGAATAGTTTTTGCTAGATTCTCACTAATGATGTTTTACATTCTCCCAAATAAATACATTTACAGTGGGTACGGAAAGTATTCAGACCCCCTTCAATTTTTTTAATAAATCTGCAAAAATGTCAACGATTCTGTGTTTTTCTGTCAATATGGGGTGCTGTGTGTACATTAATGAGGAAAAAAAATTAACTTAAATGATTTTAGCAAATGGCTGCAATATAACAAAGAGTGAAAAATTGAAGGGGGTCTGAATACTTTCCGTACCCACTGTATATTTATTTATCCTTTTAATTTTTACTGATTTCTGTTAATGTAGTCTATTTCTAAGACAAACATTGCATTTAGCTACTTTTAAAACAGCATTTTGCAGCAGATTTAAAACAGCAATTATATATATATATATATATAGATAGATATAGATAGATAGATAGATAGATAGATTAAATATAATTTATAGACTACTATAAATTTTTGAGTAGATGATGCATATTCCATGTGGACTTTCCATGTGTTTTTCAAGATGTTTAAGCTTTGTCAACCTTTTCAAGTTTATTTATTGATTTTTTTTATGTTAACAAATAAATTCATGACTGCTATGCACAAAAGTGTTGATTGTATTTCTATAAATGCTCAAAAATCTAAATCATAACGCTTATACTTCACACCTGAATTTGACTCAATTTATAGACTTTGAATCCTTTTATGAAGAGATCAATGTCTCATATGAAGTATTAAATTCATGTTGATCATAGCACAATGAGCGAGCTGAATACTTGTTTTGGCACTGCAAGCAGCCTTTTCTAATTACTTGGATTACTAGTTGTTTTCTAAACAGACAACATTCAGTGTTAACATTTTAGCATCAATGAAAAAATAAGAAATACTTATATTGAAATATAAATTAATATTACACATTTAAAGGGTCCCTTTTATATAATCAGATTTAAATGACAACCTGCATGCAGAAAGAAGACGTCTTCACGGCTGTTCCCAGATCTGTATAGCTCTGAAACATTTGAATAGACCAATCAGCGCTCAGCAAACCCATAGCCCCTCCCACTTTCCCTGCATTGTCCAATCATGATCAAGCAGCGGCTAACCCCTCAGCAGCGGCGGATTCAAACGGAAGATGAAAGATGGCCGCGGAGAAAGACACCGATGTAAATAAACGAGACAGAAGGTAATTAATATTTATTTACAGACGTGTTAGCCAAACACATATAGTCTGAAAATACAGTAAAATATTTACACGTTTGAATAACTGCAAAGACGTTGTTGGGTGGAAGCACTGAGGTAGAAAACGTTCTGTGGTAACTTTGAATGGGCATAAATACAAAGTAACGTTACTATGGTATTATTTGACGAACCGTAGAAAAGCGTGTAAATTCCGCGGTGAAATGAATGTGGGATTTTTCCAGAATATGATAAATATCAGAGTACTGTGGGTTTGCCATGTATACTTTTCGTTGCCATCACATTAAGAGTGAATCCAAGTTGACAGCAGGATTCAGAAAGCTTCTTGCATGTTTTCAACGCGTTTTACCATGGTAACTTAATGCTTGGTACAGAGAAATGCCAACAACAGAACAAGACCGAGTATAGAGAGCAACAGTTCATTCCATGTGATTACAGTCATTGTGGAGTCTTTGATGTTTTGAAATTCTCAAAATACATAATAATACCTAATCGCTTCTGTTCTGTACTTGCTCCGAAGCAATCAAGACTTCCAACACTGTCTTTTCTAGATACAATGACAAATTATATGTTCATATACAGTGTTGGGGAAAGTTACTTTTAAAAGTAATGAATTACAATATTGCGTTACTCCATAAAGTAACTCATTACGGTAGGCTACTTAGTTACTTTTTATGGAAAGTAATGCGTTACTTTACTAGTTACTTGAAAAAAGTAATCTGATTGCGTAACTCGCGTTACTTGTAATGCGTTACCCCCAACACTGTTTATATACGGTTCACGGCCTTCAGAAAAGGAGGAAAATTTAGTGTTTGTATCATATGATATAACATCTTGTGTATAACATTTAAAAAAAAAAATATATATATATATATGGTATACACAAGTTGTATTATATAATTAAATTATTTATATATTTAATCATTCAGTTTGATGACTTGAAAATAGTGCATTTCAGGACTTATTTCTGCATGCATTTCATTGTACTTTATTTATTTCAATATTCCATGGCATATTCCATAATTAATTTCATTATTTATTTATTTAACGTATTCTGTTAAATCCCTCCATAACTGCACTGACGACAAAGCAAATTATTAAAATAATTATCAGGAAAATATTTATTTTGTATTAAGTTGACAGGTTTTTCTTCACATTAATTAATTAATTAATAATGTATGCATTTAGCAGACGCTTTTATCCAAAGCGACTTACAGTGCATTCAGGCTATACATTTTTTACCAGTATTCTGGTTTCTTCTAAACTAAAGAAAAGTAATGATTCATTTTGATGTCATGTGGTGTAATTGTCAAGTAAAAAGAAATAACATATTTTTCTTACATCCTGAATATATGTGAGTGTCACATCTTAGTCATTATTTTCGAATTCTTAAAATATGTTTTTCAGTGTATTTTGAAAGGTTTTTTTTTTTTTTTAATTTTTTTTTTTTACAAATATCATGAATTATTAATGAATAAATATTGAGTTTTTGAGTCGCACCGCATGACATTTTAAGCCTGAACCAACCATGGCTTAGTTTATATACATTATTGGATATTTTAAGAGATTTATTGACTTTGACTCACATTTCCTGCCATTTCCTGTTGTTGCAGGTTGGTTGCACCACATGACAAAAGTTACATTAATTAAAGGTATTAATGAAAAGTGACGCAGTTTTGTTTAAATATATATTTAAGAAATAATAATAAGAGTTTATGCCAAATCATTTAATCATTTTTTTTTAAGAATTCAATTCTTTATTTTATTTTTTTATTTACTGTGATAAAAGTACAGTTATGTCACCCTGACATTTTTACTTTATGCCTCTCAAAAAATATAAAAGTTACATTTTAATTCAGAAATTAAAAATGTTCTTATAATGGAAAATTTTTATTTAAGTCACTGTATGTTTAATTGCATGTTCAATGTTTTTATATATATATATATATATATATATAACTGATAGGTAGCTAAACAATAAAACGAGCATGATGTCAGGAACACATGTATTTGTGCATATATAGGGGCACGGTGTGCAATGTTGTGATCAGTCAGGAGTCGGAAACGGGCGGCAGTGGTGACGGCCGGCCGCCCATCATCTTCAACCCTGACTTCTTCGTGGAGAAGCTGCGTCACGAGCGGCCCGAGGCCTTCACCGAGCTGGTGCTGAGCAACATCACGCAGCTCATCCACCTCCCAGGGGCCGAATTCTCACAGCTACTAGACGAGGAGCCCAAGACGCCCAACGCCACTGCAGCCGGAGGCTTCTTCCGCTCTTTCAACTTCCTCAAACGCAAAGGTCAGAGGGTTTTTGGGAATTGTAGCCAGTTTCCATTGACTGTGTATTCCTTTTCCTTTGCTTTCTCTGTTTCAGCCTGCAGTGGGCATTAATTCGTCCTCATGCTTCCTACATATTTACCACCAGTCTGTTGTCGATATGCCTTTGAGCTTGTTGTGGAGGCGCCGGTGATTCTTCTGTGGGAAGATTTCAGACGCTATTGACAGAAACTATTGAATAACCTTCAGTGTGAGAATTACGTCATCTGTTTTGGGAAGTTCTCTGAAGTTTACCGATTGCTGTTCAAGTTAGTTTCCTGCCGTTGGGTTTTGCTATTGACTAGCCGGCTCTAGAGTCATTGCAGTCGACAGTAATGAGCGAAACTAAAGTCAGGACCTGATTGGTTTCTGTGTGACCAAATGTATTTGGTTCCTAAATAAAATGAAGGCTCTGATATAGAATAAATTCAGTTGTAAATATAAAATAAATTCATTTTAATATACATAAATTCAGTTGTTACAAAGATTTCTATCTCAAATAAATGCTGTTCATTTGAACTTTATATTCATCAAATCCTGAAATAAAAATGTATCAAGGTTTCCACAAAAATATTGTGCAGCACAACTGTTTTCAACATTGATAATAATCAGAAATGTTTCTTGAGCAGCAAATCAGCATATTATTATGATTTCTGAAGGATCATGTGACACTGAAGACTGGAGTAATGATGCTGAAAATACAGCTGCGCATCACAGCAATAAATTACAGTTTTACAGATATTCACATAGAAAACATTTATTTTAAATCGTAATAATTTTTCACAATGTGACAGGTTTTAGTGTATTTTTGATTAAATAAATGCAGCCTTGGTGAGCAGAAGAGACTTCTTTCAGAAACATAAGAAATCTTACCGACCCCAAACTTTTGTACCTTGAAATGAAAAATGACATAAAATATGCTTTGTCATATAGATATGGCATTTTTACATGAAAGTTATTTCATAATATATTTTTTACATGATATGTTTACTTTGTTGTCTGCTACGTTTTATTTCAAGGTATATTTAACTTTGTCATGAGGTTTTTAATTTCAAGACATTTTTCAAGTTACATTATACAAAATGGATTTGTTGCAATATCTTATGATGTATTTAATAATTTCATGATATGTTTATTTAATTTATTCCACTAAATCCAATTGTAATGAACTCTGATTAAACTGACAGTGTTGTATTTTTCTTCACAGTAAGTAATGTTACGCTTATACAGGTGAATAGAAATATTTTGACATCAAATGTATTATTTATTTAGTTTTTACAATAAATATAGTACCATTTTTATGCAGAGAATATTGACTTCCGGTTCCTAGTGAGCAAGCAAAAATATGCAAATATATATGAAAAATTAATTTGTTACAAACTAAGGCTGTCAGTGGAATATCGTCTTTAGAAAGCTTAATGTAATAACATCAAATGTAATGAATGTGTTGAAAAATTACATTATTGCTGAAGAGATGTTTAATTGTTAACTGGTTTACATCTTTTCTTCTCCAGACAAAGGTGTTGTGTTCGGCATGCCTCTCACAGAGGAAGGAATAGCTCAGATTTATCAACTCATCGTGTTCCTCAGCAAAAGTGAGTTTCAGATATACAGCGCTTCTAGGACCCTTAGTGACTCTTTAATGACTCCTAATGACTAATTAAATACAGAGGCCCCCAAAAGTATTTAGACACTTGAAGTGCAGTCCTGTTAACAAAATTACGGCAAAATTTTGCAGGCAAAAAAAGGTTAATTGAACGAAGCACAGCTCACATTGAAAGTCCCCTTCAACCAGCAGCTTTCTGTGGGTCAACGCTGCAATTCACGCGACTGTCTTCATCCTGATGCTGAATTCCTGATTGTGTGGATTTTCTGTAAAATAAAATAGTAATTATTATTGTTACTATTATATTCAATTTTGTTGTTATAATGAAATCGTTTTATTACAATAATCAAGTACTTTATAATATCTTTATATAATATCTCATTTTGTTTAATGTCTTTATTTATTAATAATAATAATAATCAAAATAATTATTTTGAGTCATATTGATATACAAGCACAACGTTTTAGGCCATATTGTGCAGCCCTACAGACGAGCACAATAAACCTGATGTTTTTAAAAAATGTTGTTTGTTTGTTTTAAAAATCGCGTTTTAAACCACAGTCGCAATTTTTTAACCGGAAAAATTTCAATTAGATTTTTTCCCCAAATCGTGCAGCCCTAGTTACTGTAGATTTTCACTATAATTATTTTCTGTACTTTCCTGATTGTACATATTCCTATTGAATTAACTTTTATTTGAATTTAATTTTTTTTGTTTATTTAAAAAAAATTATATATATATATATATATGCCATTATTATTATTGTTGTTGTTATTATTAACACGATGATAATACACTGTACATTTTTTGCTATAGTTTTTTTGATTATTTAAAAGAAATATATATCATGCCATTATTATTATTATTAACACTATGATAATACTACACTATGTACATTTTTGCTATATTTTTGTGATTATTTAAAATAAAATATATCATGCCATTATTGTTATCATTATCATTACTATTATTATATTAGCGCTACACTACATACCTTTGTGCTATAATTGGTGAGATTTAATATCATCATATTTATTATTTATAATGTGTGATTTATTAAAAAACATGCTTATTACTGTCGTTGTTTTTGACATTATCATGATTATTATTAATATCACGTCAAATTTCCTGATTGCATGGATTTCTGTTGAAATGACTGAATTTTGCTCGCCAAATGTTGCCAAACAAGGGTAAATGTGACTGTATTTAAATGCACAATTTTTTTTTAACATCAACTATATTTTGTCTGTTTTGAATGAATAACATGAATGTATGCAAAGTAAGCTATGAAGAGCTGGTTGTTGTCCTGCAGATCTGCATGTGGAGGGTCTGTTTCGGGTTCCTGGTAACAGCCTGAGACAGCAGACGCTGAGAGAGCAGCTCAACAGCGGCGCCGACATCGCCTTCTCCTCCGGTGACTTCCATCCCAACGATGTGGCCACGCTCCTCAAGAGCTTCCTGGGAGAGCTGCCCGAGCCCCTGCTGACCCAGCGGCACCTGCACGCTCACCTGAAGATCACAAGTGTATCTGATCAGTCCAAACCTCACCCATCCTGCCCATCACTGACTGCTCATAATCACTCTGCACCTGTGTCTGGACAGAGCTCAGCCTGTTCGACGATCACGGCAGTAAGACGAGTCTGCCGGATAAAGAGCGTCAGATCGAGGCGCTGCAGCTGCTGCTGATGCTGCTGCCCACCGCTAACCGAAGCCTGCTCAAGCTGCTGCTGGACCTGCTCTACCACACTGCCAAACAACAGCACAAGAACAGGATGTCTGCGCACAACCTCGCGCTCATGTTCGCCCCCCACGTCATCTGGCCCAACAACGTGCGCCATTCCTTCTTCCTCTCTGTTTAATTGTTAAACGTGCTATTTTGGTATAATTGAGATCTTTTTGGTTTTAGATTTTCAGTTTTTATGTTGGTTCAGGCATCATGTTTCATGTGTGATGTGCTGCTTTCTTCAGATGAATGCCACTGACCTTCAGGAGAACCTGAAGAAACTGAACAGCGGCATGGCGTTTCTCATCAAACACTCACAGAAGATCTTTCGGGTACTTTTCCCATGACACTTTTTATCTGCACATACTGATGAGATGGAAAACAACATCATATCAACGTGGCACAGTGTTCTTTTAGTATTATCTGTTTGCTTTTATAGTATTTATTCATATTTTTGAATAAGCTTTGCTTTCAGTTTTTAATTTGACCTTTGTCGATTTTGTAGTTTTGTCATTTGTATATATTTTTATGTAAATATTTATATTTAATTTTTATTTCAGTGTTTTAGTAAATTTAGTACTTTAACATTCATATATATAATTTTATTATTTTATTTTCAATTACTTCCCAAAGAAACACTTCTAATTTTATGTGCTTTTGCCATTTTTATGAAGGTTTTTTATGTGTGTGTGTTTATATATACAGTATATATATATATATATATATATAATTTTTTTTAAATATATTTGTTTAGCTTTATTTTTATTTCAGCTTTAGTTTAGTTTTAATTTTAGAACTTCAACTTTTTTATTTCAGTTACTAACATTTAACCTAACATTTCTAATTTTGTAATGTGCTTTTGTCATTTTTATGTTTAAAAAAAAAAGAAAAAAATATTTTTGGCTTTATTTTTATTTCAGCTTTAGTTTTAGTGAATTTAGTACTTCAACTTTTTTATTTCAATTACTTGCCAAAGAAACATTTGTAATTTTATGTACTTTTGTATATATATTTTTTAATTTATATTTAGCTTTATTTTAATTTTAATGTTTTATTTTAATAATTTTACTACTTTAGCTTAAACATATTTCAGTTAGTTTCTAAGGAAACGTTTCTAATTTTCATTTCAAGTTTTTCAAGTTTAGGTTTTTTCATCTAATATTTATATTTTGATTTGTTTCAGCTTTGTTTTTAAAAATGATTTGTAATAGTTTTAGTTACCAGTAACAACACTCACATGACATTATCTTCTTTAAACATTTAAAGCATGTTTAGGAGCTTTTGTCTCTCTGATTGTCGAGTCAAATCCGTGTCTGTTTTCTTCTCCTTTGCAAAGGCACCGGTGTATCTGAGGGAACATGCGAGACTTCAGTTCGCAGACACCAGCATGATTCACTCCAAGGTCTGTGGCATGCGTGTTGGTTCTTCATTGACTGCTTTATCCACGAGTGTGGTCATGCTCTTGTGTGTGCTGTCAGGATGATCTGGAGCTGCTGTCAGTCAGCGGTTCTCCGTTCATGTCGGCGTGTAAGAGGAGCGCAGCACGAGTGCGGTCAGACTCGGACAGTCACACTGAAGAGGCGCTCCGAGAGCTCTATCGACACGTCACCCATCACATGCCAAACTCCGCCAAGAAGAAAAAACTCATCCGACAGGTGACGGCACACTGCGTCCTTTCATGGGTTCATGGGTTTTTTTTTTTTGTTTTTACAAAAACGACAAATATAAATTGTTTTATTATTATTATTTTAATAGCAACAGACCTCTTTAGGTAGCTTTTTAATTATGTTGCCATTCATTTTTACAATAATTACATTGTTGTTTTTTTTAAACCCAATTTTATTTTTTATTAATATACTAATTACAACAGACCGCTTGAGTTGGCTTTTTAAAAAATATTTTACTGTTCATTTAACTATAATTATTTTATTTTAAAAAAGCTAAATCATGCCATTATTATTATTATTACTATTACTATTTTTATTCTTATTATTGACACTACAATAATACACTGCATGCATTTTTAGCTATAATTAGTGTAATTTATAAGTTACTGTTGACTCTGTTGCGATAAGCATTATTAACATATTACAGTAGATATAGAATTTAAAAAAAATTCTCTTAGTGTGCATTTTTGTTATTTATTTTGTGATTCATTAAAAAAAAAAAAGTGTAATTTTATAGTTATTCTCTAATCTAATTTCTGCTGTGATGATTGTGTCGCTGTTAATCGTTTCAGCTTGGCAAGCAGTCGACTCCTGGCACTCCTGTGAATGAGAACACGACTCCTACCAGTAAAAAACACATGCGCTCGCGCTCCTTCGGTGGGCTTATCAAGGTCAGATCCCTATCTCTGCTTCAGATGATAACACATAAGTAATCAAAGGTGATGGTGGCATCTCTCCAAGTGCAGCTGTGTGTCCTTTAGTTCAGTCTACTGGCAGCTACAAAGTGAGGCAGCAAAGTAGTTTAAAGGGGCTGTGCTATAAAAACATTGCAGCATTCAGTGTGTGAAAGAGTTCATGTGTAAGTGCATAAACTGTGTGTAATGAGTGTTACCGTGTTTAAATGCAGAAGAAGGTTTTGGGGAGCCAGCCTGCCGCAGACAGGAGGGGGAAGGAGAACATCAGCTGTGATCCAGTGAGCTGAATGCCCTCAGCACCGGGTTCAGGTCAGCAGCAGTTTACTGATCACACACAGATGCATGCCATCAGTTATTTACTCAAGGCTGGAAAACACTACACGACTTTTCAAATCTGAACAGATTTCAGTAAATCGGGGGAAAATGGGGCAAAAGTCGTGTAGCGTATTCTAGCCTTTGTTTGTTTTCTTTTTGTTTTGCTTTCATCTTGGTTTTGTTTTATGTTGTGTTTTCTATTTGTTTGGCTTTTTCTTTGTTGTTGTGCTTAGTATTTTTGTTTTTATTTAATTTGTTTTTTTTTGCTTTGTCTTAATTAGTTTTGCTTTGTTTTTTTTTGTTTTTTTCAAGTTTTGTTTTAATTTTATTTGTTTTTAATTTTATTTTTTAGTCCGTTTTAAGTTTGTTGTTTTGCTTTTGTGTTTTATTTTAATTTCATTAGTTTTTTTTGTTTTAATGTGTTTTTTTTTTTTGCTTTTCTTTTATTTTGTTGCATTTAGTTTTTTTTTGCTTTGGTTTTATTGTGTTTTTGTTTTGTTTCAAAAGTGAGATATTTATTTACTGGTTTAATTTTGTTGTTTTGCTTTTGTGTTTTATTTTAATTTCATTAGTTTTTTTGCTTTTTTTTTTTGCTTTTTTGCTTTTCTTTGATTTTGTTGCATTTAGTTTTTTTGCTTTGGTTTTATTGTGTTTTTGTTTTGTTTCAAACGTGTGATATTTATTTACTTGTTTAATTTTTTTGTTTTGTATTATTTTTGTTGTATATTTCAGATGTGTGAATTTGTTCTAAATATCATCTTAATGTCTTTTGTTATTATAAATGCAGTCGTTATCTTGTTGAAAAAGGCTCAAAGCATAAATCTCTGCTTATTTTCCAGTGCCTTATATGTCTATATTGTGAATTCTGCCCGAATAGAAGACTTCACTTCACTTCACTCTAGACGACCAGAGGAGATAGAGTTTTTATTTTAATTATTTATTTATTTTACATTCGGTATTGTTTTAACATAGTAAAAGTTGAGACTAATTTTCATTTAATGTGTGAATTCTTACTTGTTTTTTTAATTCGCTGTATGGTTTTAAACTGTTACGTCAGGTGTTGATGGGTAAACCACTAGTTAGTTCCACTGGCCGTTTAAACTGACCCATGATAAGATTAACTCGCTCAGCTCATTCATATTGCCATCAGTTATTGATGTATGTGTATGTGTATGTATGTGTAAATATATTTGCGTGTGTGGAAACGTGTGCTGATGTCTGGACCATATGTAACTCGCATTATTCACTCAGTTTATGCTGTAATCAGATTTTAAGGGAACGATAGACAACATTTACTCACAAAAGTGTATTACTGTCATTTAGAGATCTGTGAGAATATAGACTGGTATTTGTTTACATATATAGATATTGTCTTAATAACACTGTGAACATTTGAAATATGGTATTTTGTGACTAGAACAAGACAAATGTGCTTTTTTTTTACCTGATGTTGCTTTTCTGGTGCAAATCATCAGCTTACAAAAGTTTCCATGTAGTTTAACCAGTAAGTCAAGAAGGTTCATGTATTTTTGTATAAAAATTAATTTCAGTGTACGATCATTTTGTGTTTTCATATTGAGAAGTACACAAAGCAGTCATGTTTCTTTACTGAATGTTGTTTTAAGTTTAATTTCAAGGGTCTTTGCGAGGTGTTTCGAAGGTTTCTGTATGTTACAAGTGAGGTGGAGAGGATCATGGGAAGGATGCAGTGGTTGGTTTGTAAGTGTTCATAAGATCAGCGGGTATGTGATGTGTGTGAACTTCAGTGGGCATTAAAGATGTGCTGAAAGGAATTACTGTTAATCCTGAACGTCTCCTCAAAGCAGAGTGCTGGTTTTATGCTCCTGGAGAGCGCTGTGACGTCACTTCCTTTCATCGTCCATCATTTATATTGCTCTTTCAGATGTGTTTGGTTACAGGCGCTGTCCAAATGCACATTCCCTCGACTACAGTGGGATTTATATTTGACTGATGGTTTGCTTTTTCATGTTTTTTTTCTCCCATTTTAATGCTCAAACTCAAATGTTGCTTATCTAAATCTATATTTTAAGCCTAAAATGTTGCAAAAGGGGTGGTTAAATTGTTGAAATAACTGGAAATATTTTAAAACATCTTTTAGGCCAGTAAATACCGTAAGCATGCAAGCTTTCAAGTTTAATATTGCATGCTGATGGTGGACTTTACAACTTACAAACTGGAATACATTTTCACAATAATCTGCGATTCCTGAAGTGTTGAAGAAAAGAGGAGCTCAATTTTCTTAATTTAATAAATTAATCATTTTTAATAATTTGCATTGTGTAATTGTTAAGTGGGAGGTTTTGTGTGTGTGTGTGTGTGTACTGATGGGACATGTGGAAGTTGTGCAGGTGGTATCTGTTGGAAATTATGTGATGTAACATTGGGAAAATCATTGATTTGACATAAACCACCTTTTCTTTTCTGTTACAGTAGTTAAAACTGGAGGGTTTTTAAAAAACATTTTGTATTGTGGTCTGTGAAGCATTTGTACTTGACCTGCTCTAGTACAATGAGCACTTCTGTGTATTTGTTTGTTTGTTTTAATGAAAACTTACCAGCTGAATTTGTCCATCTATGTGTACGGAGTGATCTCTTGTGCTGTTTGTGCGGTAGTTCTGTCCACTAGAGGGCGCTGCCGCACAGTTAATATCCCTCCGCGCGGCTCAGACTGGATGCGTCAGAAACGGATGCACCAATCAGTAGATGCTTAATTACAATTAAGTACTTAACGAGCTCTACTCTTAGCCTGAATGCGTTATATGAGCTACAGTTGATCTGTAAATATTTAGATGTTGATGAAATCAGGGGTGTATAATCTACCTGAGCTTTATTCTGATGAAGACCACCGTGTCCACCTTCAGCTGTCTCTGCCGTCCATCACTGCTGCAGTCAGACTGAATCTGATCATGGATGGGGAAGAGACATCGAGGCTGTCCTTGCCTGAGTGCACAGAGAGGATGAACCACACAATCTTAAAGCAGGAGCGGGGCAATCTGTGTCTGCTCCAAACATCCGTGTGCTGCTCTCCATGAGTTGTCAGGTTTCCATTTGCCAAATTTCATTTCATATCTTTACAATTACATGCTAATTTTTGTCATAGCTTCAATACTTTTGTGGTGTAGTGGGCTAGAGCACTGAACCGGTTCTTCACCAGCGGTGTGCCCTTGAGCAAGGCTCTTTACTCCAGGTCGTTTCAGGGGGATCGGGGGCCCTGTAATAAGAGCTTCGGATAAAAGCATCTGCCAAATGCAGAAATGTAAATATAAATACAAGTGAATGTGATTTTTGTAAGTCTCGGGCACAAACGCTCAATAAAGCTGCTTATATGTATGTTTATTTCAAAACTTTATTTATTTTTATTATAAATGTATAAATATATTTCATACAATTTCTATTTGGGGGGCTTAAAGGGTTAGTTCACCTAAACATAATTCAGTCATTATTTTCTCGCCTCAGAGTCCACGCTGTTTGATGTTTACACAGAAGGTGATTTTAGTTAAGTTTGTCCTGCTGGTTTCTCTCAGTGGAGCCTGACTTTCAGAAGCTTCATGACTTTATTTGATGATGCTTTCGAAGCTTCTGAAACGCAGGTTTCATTGACTGATGTTGTTTGAACAAACCAGCAGGTCAAATGTGACCAAACTCACCTCCTCAGTGTCTTTTGGTGTTTCTCTAGATGGTCTCGCTGGCTCTGGGGTCACGGAGCACCTCTCCATCATCACTGCTCACACCAGACATTTCAGATCCTGCAGAAATACACAAACATCCTTCAAAACCAGTCATTTTAACAGCACAATGACATCCGATTTCTGTATTAGAAGTAACACAATGATCTTTATATTTTTGTTTCAGGTTTTCCCGTTTTTTCACAAATGCCACCACCTTGCGATAGAAAGCTGAAAAAGCAGACACTGCGTCAATCATTCCAACGTGATCTCAAGTTGAATCATATAAACATAAAATGATATAAAATGTCTACATTCACTACGGAACTCGGATAAAAATAACTGAAACGCTGTATGGTAAACAACTTAAATAAAATGTGGCTTTATAGTTGATCTCTGTAGATTTCTTATATTATAGATACACTCTAAAAAATGCTGGGTTAAATACAACCCAATTGCTGGGCTTGTCCCTATTTTACCCAGCACTGGGTTGTATTTAACCCAGCATTTTTTAGAGTGTATAGTAAGGAATCTTCAACTTGGTTCATTCAAGTCAAGTAATTTATTTGTATAGCATCCACAATACACATCGTTTCAAAGCAGCTTTATAGTAAGTTATTCTGTTACCTCTATAATAGCTTAATGCTTTAACACTGAGCAGTTTTACTGGGCAGTATGGCGATATATAACTGATAAATGATCCACCGTTTGAGATCTAGCTACAGTGTATTTATTCTTCCCTTACAATAATTAATTAACCATGGTTTCGCTACACTAACCATAGTTTAACTGTGGTATTTCTAATACAATTGTGGTCATACAAATGGTAATCAATACGCCAAAAAAACATGGTTACACATTTACTATAATAAAACCATGGTTAATTTTCATGGGTTTCAGCAGTTATATCAGTGCCACTTTAGTGAAGGAGACTGAATACTATGGAATGAATGTTTGCAGCCTCTCAGACACAACACAACAGCGATTTTTTAAATTATTATTATTATTTAAAGAGATTTACATATTAGTCTGTTTTATTCTAAGTGTATGTCAGCTGTTTTTCAAAAATTATTCGTATAAAACAGTCGTCTTTTTCTGTGGTGATTTGCTTTTTCTCTTACACTGTAGCTGCACCCGAAATGACTTGGAGTTAGTAGCCTAACTTTATGAATAAAATATTAAAATGTTGATTTATACTTTTACCAAACCTTGCAATAAGACACTAAGCCTCTTTGTAATGTTGATAAAGTGTAGTTTAAAAGACCCTACTCTGTTATTTAGATGTTTAATCCAATATTATATAATGTATAAATATATATTTGTTATACATATTATATAAATATAAATGTTAAATAATTTATATATTATATGAACTATACTATATAGTACATACTATATAACTATACTAGGCTATGCATGCAGACAGACATAAATAAATAAAGACATTAAAAAAAATAAATATATGTGTGTGTGTGTGTGTGTGTGTGTGTGTATATCTTATCTTTATTTATATCATTATTAGGTTATGTCTGTCTGCTTGCATAGCCTAGTTTATATTCATGGTCCGTTGCTTGATTGGGTAATTTGCCTATGGCATGAGAAATGTCCATGTTAAACCAAATAAATTATTAAACCAGTGTATTTGCTTATAGTTTACAGTACGTAGTTAGTACAGCCTTTCTGTTTTCAAAATTATTTTATTAAATATTATTTTAATATTATTTAAATCACTATCGATGTTGTTGTAAATAATATATTCTATAATTTTTTCCTAAACATATACTTCCACAAAGTTATATTTGTGTGCACATAAATGCTCAGTTATTGTGTTTGTACAGCCTCGTCCTCCTCCCTCTTCCTCCTCCAGACCCCAGCCAGAGAGCGTAATTACCCAGAAGAGAGAGAGAGAGCAGGACCGTGGGCATCTGCAGGACTCCCATTACTGTGACTGCATTGGCTCGTTTAGTTTACACTCTAAGTAGATTGGTCTCTCTAAGCAAGATCCCAATTCGTCGGTCACCGACGTGACGTCTCCGTTCCCCCCTTCAGGGAACTAGGGTTACATACGTAACCGAGACGTTTCCACGGCACATAACTCAAATAAGTTTAAGTGCTAAAATTACTAAAACTGAAATAAATAGCATAGAAATAAAAAAAACTAATTAAATTAAATTAAATAATTAAATTCTCAAATAAAATTGAAAATATAAAAATAAATAATTTAAATTA